GGCCGGGAGCATGCCACTGCACTCCAGTCTGGGTGGCAGAGTGAGACTCCAACGCAAAAAAAAAAAATGGCATTCTGGACAGCCTCTGAAAAAGATGGAAATTGGCATGTGAGTTAAAATTTTTTGCCATCCTGCTGTATCTGAAAATTAAGAAAAGGGAAAGAAAACCTGTTCAGGAATCTACTTTGTGGCCCCTATAGTCCTGAAAACACTTTTCTTTTCTTTTTTTTTCTTTTTTGAGTCAGATTCTCACACTGTTGCCCAGGCTTGGGTACAGTAACATGATCACAGCTCGCTCACTGCAGCCTTGACCTCCTGGGCTCAGGTGCTTAGGTAATTCTCCTGCCTCAGCCTCCTGAGTAACTGAGAATACAGGCTCATGCCACTACACCTGGCTAACTTTTTAAATAAGTTTTTAATTTTATGCTTATGGGGGTCTTGCTGTATTGCCCAAACTGGTCTCAAATACCTGTGCTCAAGCAGTCCTCCCACCTTGGCCTCCCATAGTGCTAGAGTTATAGATGTGAACCACTGTGCCTGGCCCCAAAGACACTTAATACCCATCTTATTAAAGCCTTTCCTCTCTTTGTCAGGTTTTTTAATGAAATGTTAGGTTGAACCGGGTGCAGTGATTTACGCCTGTAATCCCAGCACCTTGGGAGGTGGAGGTGGAGGTGAGAGGCTTGCCTGAGCCCACAGGTTCGAGACCAGCTTGGTCAACTTGGCAAGACCTCATCTTTACAATAAATCAAAAAATAAGCCGGGCATGGTAGCATACACCTGTGGTCCCAGTTACTTGGGAGGCTGAGGTGGAAGGATCCCCTGAGCCCAACAGGCTGAGGCTGTGGTGGCCTTGAGTGCTCCACTGCACTCCAGCCTGGGCAATAGAGTGAGACTCCAACTCACAAAAAAAAAAAAAGAAATGTCAAACTGGCACTGACCTTGAAGAGCTTTAAAGAAGTTACTACAGAAATTACTTTTAAGTACTTACCAAAAATGCAAGAGTACTTAAGTGTTAAAAATCTTGGATATTGACTCTTTTACAAGGTATATCTATAAATACTTTTACAAGATATATCTATAAATAATATAAAGTAATAGACTGACTTCCATATTAGTTGCCTGACTAAACTGTTTTCAGGATGTATCTGAAATGCCCTAACAAAAAAGAAGAGTATGCATGTAAGCATAGCAGGTAAACCTGATAATGGCTGCTTTGTTTTGTTGTCTTGGTTTATAAGACTTCATTTGACTACACTTGTGAGTATTATTATTCAGTCATAAATTAGGTGAGGGAGATAATCTAGGGGAATCTCTTGGAAATTTAATAGTATTTTGCGACCTATTTTTTTAGATCCACAGTTGGATAAGTTAATCAGTTTTTAAAGTACTTGGTGCTGATTACAGGAAAAATCATGTTTTCTTAACCACCCTGGCCTAGACTAGGCTTTTCACCATTGACATTTGGTGCTTAGACTTTGTGGTAGGAAAAAGGTGGGAAGGGACTGTCCTGCACATTATAGGATGTTTAATGCCGTCTATGGCTTCTGCCACTGGATGCCATTAGTGCTCAATAACCCTCAGTTGTAACAATCAAAAATATCTCCATACGTTGCCACATGTCCCCTAAGGGACAAAATTATCCCATTTGAGAACCATTGGTTGAAACTAATGACCAGTAACATTTTTTCCTAAGGATTCCTTGCTCTGACAATGTTGTCACAGGCCTCACAGAATTAACCACTTGGAAATTTGAATGTTCAGAATCCTTAGAAGCAAATACTGTACCCTGAATATAATTTGTTTTTTCTTCCAGGTCAGCATTTCTTGCAGCACACATCCCACTTTTTCTGTACCCCTTTTTGCACACTGTCAGCAAAACACGTCCCTTTGAATATCTACGACTTACCAGCCTTGGAGTTATTGGTAAGTTATTGGGGTGTTTTTACAAGACTGAAATCTTCACTCATAGTAGTCTTATTAATGAGTTGTGTGTTTTGTCTTGCCTCTTACAGCTTTTGTACACCAGTTTTTCATTTTTAACCGTGAGGTCTCATCCACTAAAATGAGTATCTGGAACATGACAACTCTAATCAAGCACCATTCTAAGTGTTGTTAATAAGACTTTGAGGCCCACCATTTAGGGTTAAATTCAGTATGTACATGGAAACATTAACTGGAATTGTAGAGCGTAAATGATAAGAACTTGACATATAAAGAGTATTATTATAGGAATGAGAGTTTAAATTTAGAAGTTTCTTTCTTTCTTTTGTCAGAGATAGGGTTTCACTATGTTGCCCAGGCTGAACTTGAACTCCTATACTCAAATGACCTCCCAATTCAGCCTCCCAAGTAGCTTGGACTATAGATGTGTACCACTGTCTCTTTCTTTTTTTCCTACTTGTAAGCTACTTTACCATAACTCCAGGGGTTTACCTTCTGCTACTTCACCTAGTTAAATTTTTTCATGTTCAAGTTAATGTTTCTATATGCCTTTTACTGTAAGGGATATGAATAAAATGCTTTTTACTTACAAGAATAACACATTAGCTATTTCAAATTTCAGACTCCTGAGGAATAAATAAATATCTTCAGACTTGTGGAGTGTAATACATTCAGGAAGGTTTTTTTTTTTTCCTTGTAGTTTTTCTTAAATACTGACTACAAAAATATGAAAACTGACTACACAAACTTTGCTTTGTTGGTTTATTGTTTTATAGTCAACCTGTGTTTATAAACCATATGTCAGGAAATATAATTTAAAAGTCTGGTATTTCTAAGACATATTTCTCAGATATATTTTGTTCTACTTTTGCGTAGCCATTATCTCATATACTGCACAGGAATGTTATTGCTTTGTTTCTGTAATTGATATGCTAATTAGAAACTTTTAAAAATGTATTCTTTTCTGCTTTTAAGCTATGAAAACTGATCATGTAAGATTTAAAACATCAGCATAATTACAGCATAAGGAAGGCATTTATATCCTTAACTTTGTCTTAAATCATCCTACTTTTTTATTTTTTGACCACTACAGTGGTATGATGTATCTGTGAGATGTTGGGTCAAGGTTAAGAGTGGGAAAATGGCCAGGCGCGGTGGCTCACGCCTGTAATCCCAGCACTTTGGGAGGCCGAGGTGAGAGGATTGCCTGAGCCCACGGGTTTGAGACCAGCCTGGGCGATTTGGCGAGACCTTATCTCTACAATAACTCAAAAAATTGGCCAGGCTTGGTGGCACGTGCCTATAGTTCCAGCTACTTGGAAGGTTGAGGCAGAAGGATCACCTAAGTCTAGCAGGTTGAGGCTGCAGTGGCTGTGAACGTGCCACTATACTCCAGCCTGGTTGACAGAGTGAGACTCCGACTCAAAAAAGTAGAAAGATGAAAATAATACTTCCAGAGTAGTAAGCCAATTGGTTAACCTTATTAAAATTTTCTGAAACTCAGTTTGTCCAAGTCAATCGAGAGAACAAGTAGAAGATTCATATTTGGGTAGGAACATTTGCTTACAGTTCAAAGGTTATCAGGCAAGTTTGAATAAATAAGTGAAATTATATGTAATTTCATAAATAAGTGAAATTTGTATTCCATTTCAAATATTTTCTAATTTTTCTTATGTATAATTTCATAAATAAGTGAAATTATACATAAGAAAAATTAGAAAATATTTGAAATGAAATAAAAATGAAAACACAAAATTTGTGGGATGTAGCTAAAGCAGAGCTTAGATTTAAATATATAGGATTAAATGCTTATACTAGATAGAATGAGAGTCTCTAATCAATGATTTAAGCTTCACTTTAAGAAACTAGAAAAAAGAAGCATATTTAGCTAAAGCAAACAAAGAGAATGAAATAATAGAAAGTAGATACTTAATAGAAAAACAGATAAATCATTGAAACCAAAAGCTGATCCTTAAGCGGGGAGGCCAATAAAATTGATAAACTTCTATCCAGACTAAAGAAAAAAAGAGGGAAGACATAAATTGTAAATATCAGGAATGATACATTATTACAGACTCTTCAGATATTAAAGGGATAATAAGGGAGTACCACTTACAGCTCTGTGCTTATAAATTTGACAACTTAGATGACATAGAAAAATTCTTTGAAATACACTATTTGCCAAATTGCACTCAAGGAAAAAAATAGATAACCTAAATACTTGTATATCTATTAAATACATTGCTTAGCCGGGCTCGGTGGCTCAACCTGTAATCCCGCCTTTGGGAGGCTGAGGTGAGTGGATTGCCTGAGCCCGCGGGTTCGAGACCTGCCTGGGCAGCGAGACCTCATCTCTACAATAAGTCAAAAAAATCAGCCGGGCGTGGTAGTGCATGCCTGTAATTCCGGCTACTTGGAAGGCTGAGGCGGAAGGATTGCCGGAGCCCAGCAGGTCGAGGCTGCGGTGGCCGGGAGCGGCCACTGCACTATGGTCTGGGCGACAGTGAGACTCCAACTCAAATAGATAAATAAATTAATAAATAAAATACATTGCTTTTGTAGTTTAAGCCTTCAATGTTAAAAAAACTCCAGGCAGGCTGAGTGCAGTGACTCACGCCTATAATCCCAGCATTTTGGGAGACCGAGGTGAGAGAATTGTCTGAGCCCATAGGTTTGAGACCAGCCTGGGCAACTTGGTGAGACCTCATTTCTACACTAAATCAAAAAATTAGCTGGGCGTGGTGGTGCGTGCCTATAGTTTCCAGCTACTTGGAAGGCTAAGGCAAAAGGATTGCCCGAGCCCAGCAGGTGGAGGCTGTGGTGGCCATGAGTGTGCCACTGCATTCCAGCCTGGGCAGCTGAGTGAGACTCTAACTCAAAGAAATACTGATATAGAATTTGCTTTCCTTACCTAAAACAGTGTAGAGAACAGATTGGTGATATTAATGTAAGATTGTCTACCAAGAGTGAAAAAAATATTATTCAGATATCTAAACTGCTGATAACTACATGGTGATCCAAACTTGTTACCTGATCTTTCAGTGCTGACTGATAGTCATCCTGTACTACTACTTCTTTTTGTGCATGTATATGAATCTGATTCCCTTACATACAAACCACAGTTTGTAGTCTATGTTATTTGAGTTCTACAACTCACTAGGCAAACAATACAAAGTTAATTTTAACTAGAAACCCTGACTCTAAAGTAATTTTGTTTGTTCATATTTTCTTTAGGGGCCCTGGTGAAAACGGATGAGCAAGAAGTAATAAACTTTTTATTGACAACAGAAATTATCCCTTTGTGCTTGCGCATTATGGAATCTGGAAGTGAACTTTCTAAAACGGTATGTACTTTTAACTTAGATGCTTCATTGTGTTGGCTCTTAGGGTCCTGGGATCATGTTCTGCCTTTAGGCTTTTGACCTTTGTATGAACACTTTTTCTCTTGAATAAAAAATATTTCAAAACAATTATTGAAAAACCCATTCATTCAGAAGGGTATCAAGTTAAACATACAGTTTTTCCCTTTTCTCTGAACCCACATCTCACTCCACAGGTAAACTCTTAAGTATATTATTCCATGCCGGGCACAGTGGCTCAAGCCTGTAATCCCAGCACTTTGGGAGACCGAGGTGAGAGGATTGCCTGAGCCCATGGGTTTGAGACCAGTCTGGGCAACTTGATGAGACCTCATCTCTACAATAAATCAAAAAAAAATAGCCGGGCATGGTGGCACATGCCTGTAGTTCCAACCAGTTGGAAAACTGAGGTGGAAGGATCGCCTGAGCCCTGCAATTCAAGTCTGCGGTGGCCGGGAGCATGCTACTGCACTCCAGCCTGGGCGACAGAGTGAGACTCCAACTCAAAAGAAAGCAAAACAAACAAAAAAAGTATATTACTAAAGATTTTTTTTTTCTGTAATCAAGTATATGTGCTTGAGCTTCTGCTTTATGACTATGAATAACAACATGACTAGGTATAGAATTCTCATCTTTTTTTTTCCTCTTAGGACTCTATTGCTATAATTTTATTGCCTTACATTGAATGTTGCAGAGAAGTCTTAGGCCAGTTTGATTCTTTTCCTTTTGTACATGAGTTTGCCTGTTTTGTGTGGTATCTATAGGCTGCTTTTGTTATTTATTTTTTGAGAAAGTAGGATTTATTAACAAGACAGAAAAGCTCCCACAGCAGGAGGGAACCTGAAAGAGGTTGCCTGCTTTTGTTATTTTTATTTATTAATTTATTTTTTGAGTCTCACTCTCACTCAGTCACCCAGACTAGAGTGCACTCATGGCCACTGCTGCCTTGATCTGCTGGGCCCAGGCTATCTTTCCGCCTCTGCCTTCCTAGTAGCTGGAACTACAGGTGTGTAACTGCCATGCCTGGCTAATTTTCCTTAATTTATTGTAGATATAAGGTCTTGTCAGGTTGCCCAGGTTGGTCTCAAACCCCTGGGCTCGGGCAGTTCTCTCACCTTGGCATAGCAAAGTGCTGGGATTACAGACGTGAGCCACTGCGCCTGGCTGCTTTTGTTATTTTTACAGTTCACTTGATGATCTTTTTTTTTTTCTTTTTTTTTTGAGTTGGAGTCTCACTCTGTTGCCCAGACTAGAGTGTAGTGGCCGCTCCTGACCACCGCAGCCTCAACCTGCTGGGCTCCGGCGATCCTTCCACCTCAGCCTTTCAAGTAGTGGAACTACAGGTGCACACTACCACACCCGGCTAATTTTTTGATTTATTGTAGAGATGAGGTCTCACCAGGTTGTCCAGGCGGGTCTCGAACCCACGAGCTCAGGCAATCCACTCACCTCAGCCTCCCAAGGCGCGGGATTACAGGCTGAGCCACCGAGCTCGGCTAATGATCTTATATTTTTTTCATTTGTCTGGCCTTTTGTTTAAACAACATCAATTATGCTTATTGTTTGTCTTTCATATCTTTTTTTCTCTCTTATCACTTTATGTTTTATTTCCCGTTTGATTTTTCTCAAGGGTGCTTCTTCTATATTGCTGACTATTTTTGGCAATATCTATCCTCTGTTCTAGCATGTGCCTAATCATATTAAATTAACTTTTTAATTCAGTAAATATTGCTGAGTTGAATATAAGAAGATATAATGATTTTTTTTTCTTCAATTGTTGAAGTCTTACTATGTTATCTAGGCTGGAGTGCCATGGCTGTTCACAAGTACAGCCATAGTGTACTATAGCCTTGAACTCCTAGGCTCAAATGATCTTCCCGCTTCAGCTGGTATTACAGATGTGCACCACCATGCCTGACTGTTTTTAAAATTTTTATTTTAAATGTGTAATATATGCATAAAGTAAAAAATTCAGGCTTGGTGCAGTGGCTCATAACTGTAATCCCAGCACTTTTTGGGAGCCGAGGCAGGAGGATCACCTGAGCCCAGAAGTTTGAGACCAGCTTGGGCAACAGAGACCCCATCTACAAAAAAATTAAAAAATCAATTGAGCGTGGTGGCACATGTCTGTAGTCCTAGCTACCTGGGAGGCTGAGGCAGAAGAATCACCAGAGCCCAAGAGTTTAAGGCTGTGATGAGCTGCAATCATGCCACTATACGCCAGCCTAGGCAACAGTGAGACCCTGACTTTAAAAAAAAAAAAAAAAGCTCAAATAGCATAACACAAACAGGCAAATAAAAGTAAGTCTCTACTTAACTCAGCCTCTCTGTTGTCCCCAGTGATACCCACTTTACTCCTTTCTTGTGTCCTTACCAAAATATTCTTTCTCTCTTTCTATTTATCTATCTATAACAGTTTAATTTTATACTTTAATTTTTTTCTTAGTTTCTGCCTTCTCATGTCTCATTGGCACTTTTTTGAATTTTTTTACCTTTGAATTATTTTTTAATGTTTTTAAAAGTTCGTGTTCTTGGCTAGGCATGGTTTCTCAAGCCTGTAATCCCAGCACTTCGGGAAGCTGAGAAAAAAGGATTGTCTGAGCCCACGGGACAACTTTATAAGACCTCATCTCCACCATAAATCAAAAAATTAGCCAGGTGTGGTAGCACACGCCTGCAGTTCCAGCTACTTGCTGGAGGGCTGAGGCGGGAGGATCACCGGAGCCCAGCAGGTTAACACTGGAGTGGCTGTGAGCGTGCCACTGCACTTCAGCCTGGGCAACAGAGTGAGACTCCAATTCAAAAAAAAAAAAAAGTTCATGTTCTTTTCAATTTCTTTGAAAGTATAGATAATTGTTACTTGTTACCTCTTCTTGAAGTATATTTCCATAAAAATTTCATGTTGGACATTTCTATCAAGGATTACTATTTGTTTAAAATAATGGATGAAGGCCAGCCACGGTGGTTCACACCTGTAATCCCAGCACTTTGGGAGGCAGGGGCAAGAGGATTGCCTGAGCCCAGGGGTTCAAGACCAGCCTGGGCAACTTGGCAAGATTTCGTCTCTGAAGAAAAAAAAAACAATGGATGGAAAGATAAATGATTATAACATGAGCTTTAAATTAATTATTGTATCTCCAAATGCTTTTCCACCCAGTTCATCAGTCATTGTCTATCTCTGTTTACTTCTGTCTCTGTTTACCTCTGTTCTCAGTTTTCTACTTATACACACAAAGGATAATGTAGATCTATCTATGTTCATGCCTTTCCTTTTATTTTTCCCCCAATTCTAGTTATTTTTGTTAATTTTGGTGGATTTCAGGGACAAGATTGGAATGGTTACAACTGTACTTCATTATCTTTCATTAGTAGTTGCCTGTGAATAAGATTTTAAAGTTGGCTTCTTATAGCTGTGGCAGAAAAAGACTTATTTCTACTTAGGTAACATCTCTTTATTGTAGGCAAAACACTTCTAGTTAGGAAAGCATTTGCCAAACATTTTATTACAGAATACTTGTTAAGTTATATTTTAACTGAATAACAGCAGAAAACTATGAAAGATAATGAAACCATAGATTAAAACATATTTTTTTAAAGTCCCACAAAGCCGGGCTCAGTGGCTCAGCCTGTAATCCCTTGCTTGGGGAGGCTGAGGTGAGTGGATTGCCTGAGCCCGCGGGTTCGAGACCCGCCTGGGCAACTTGGCGAGACCTCATCTCTACAATAAATCAAAAATTCGCTGGGTATGGGAGCGCGCGCCTGAGTTCCAGCTACTTGGAAGGCTGAGGCGGAAGGAGTGCCTGAGCCCAGCAGGTCAGCTGCGGTGGTCAGGAGTGGCCACTGCACTCCAGTCTGGGCGACAGAGTGAGACTCCAACTCAAAAAAAAAAAAAAAATCCCACAAAGCCAAGCATGGTGGCATTCTCCTATATTCCCAGCTACTCGAGAAGCTGAGGCTAGAGGATCATTTGACTGGGAGGTCAAGGCTGTGGTGAACCATAATCACATCACTGTACTCCAGCCTAGGCAACAGACTCTGTCTCAAAAAAAAACAAAAAACTCACACATTAATTGCTATAAGGAATTTGGTTGCTGTTTTTGTTTTTGCTTGACATGGCTTTACTCTCATCACACAGGCTGGAGTACAGTGACATGATCAAGGATCACGGCAACCTCTAACTCCAAAGCTCAAGCAATCCTGTTGCCTCAGCTTTCCAAGTAATTGAAACTACAGATATGCACCACCATTCCTGGTTAATTTTCTATTTTTTGTAGGCATAAGATCTCACTTTGTTGCTCAGGCTCTTCTTGAACTCCTGGGCTCAAGTGATTCTCCCGCCTCAGCCTCCCAAAGTGCTGGGATTACATTTGTAAGCCTCCACATATGGAGCTATAAAGAATTTTTTTAAAAATATGTTTAAGCTGGGTACGGTGGCTCACACCTGTAATCCCAGCACTTTAGGAGGCGGAGGTGAGAGGATTGCCTGAGCCCACGGGTTCAAGACCGCCCTGGGCAGCATGGCGAGACCTCGTCTCTACAATAAATCACAAAAAAGTTAGCTGGCTGTGTGGCGCATGCCAGCTACTTGAAAGACTGAAGCGGAAGGATTGCCTGAGCCCAGCAGGTCGAGGCTGTGGTAACCGTGAGCATGCGGTTGCACTCTATCCTGGACAACAGAGTGAGACTCTGACTTAAAATATATATATATATATGTTTAAAGTACCAATAGCATCACAGTATATTGATAAAGTAATCTATATTATTTAGATCTGTGATAATTGAATAGACAACATACAATATGTGTGAATTAGTAGATTGTATAGGAGATCTTGGTATTCTCAGACTTGATGTTCCTATTTCTTAAATACTGATTAATGCACAATCAGTAGCATTCACTAAGTACCTATTATGAGCCAGTTATTATTTTAAGCATGATATGTGCATTATTCTATCAATTTCTCACAACTATCATCTCCATAGGACAGATGAAGAAATGGAGGCTTAGAGTGTTTAACTGGGTACACTTTGGGAGGCTGAGGATCAAGGATTGCCTAAGTCTAGGAGTTCGAGACCAGCCTGAGCAACATAGCAAGACTTTGTCTCCACAATAAATTTGTAAAAAATTAGCCAGGTATAGTGATGCGTGCCTATAGTCCCAGCTACTTGGAAGGCTGAGGTAGAAAGGATCGTCTGGGTCTACCAGGGTGAGGTTGTGGTAGCCATGATTGAGTCACTACACTGCAGCCTGAGCAACAGAGTGAGACTCTGACTCTAAAATAAAATAAATAGCAGTAGAATGTTTTAAGTATTTTGCCCAAAGTCACATAGAAATGATGGAGCTGAGATTTGAATCAAGATCCTTGGACCATGCTCTGATCCGCTGTGCTAACAAGAACAACTATATAAATATTCCTTTTTTTTTTTTTTTTTTAGATTGGAAAATATAGTTTATTTAAAAAGTAAACTAGAAAGAGAGAGGAGATTCAAGGTAGAGAAGGGGGCCAAAGCCAGGAAACATGGCAAAGACCATAGTGCAAAAATCACATGACCACACCAGAGTCTAGTAAGGCAATAGAGTATTCTGGTTTTCGTATATTATTTAGGAGAAAAAAATAGAAGAAGATAGCATATTATACATATTATTCCCACAACACAAATTCAAGATTCACTCCTTCCTACCATTTGTTTTTGTCTTCCTCTTTGGGATAACAGTAGGGATTAGGAAATGCTACTTGTACCCCAAACTTGCTTTCCTAGTTATTTGGGAATCACCAGTTAGATAAGTACTGCCATATAGATGGTAATTCAAAATATTTTAGCTTACTCTGGCTCTTATAGTGAGTTTATAACAAGATACACTGAGACTTCATTTCAACAGTCAATAAAGGAAACTACTTCTCAATTGGAAGTGTTTTTTGTTTTTTGAATCAGAGTCTGACTCTGTTGCCTAGGCTGGAGTACAGTGGCACGCTCACAGCCACTGCAGTGTCGACCTGTTGGGCTCAGACGATCCTTCCACCTCAGCCTTCCAAGTAGCTGGAACCACAGGCATGTGCCACCACACTCGGCTAATTTTTTTATGAGGTGAAAGGACTGCTTAAGCCCAGCAGGTCAAGGCTACAGTGGCCATGAGCGCGCTCCTGCACTCCCATATGAGCAACAGACTGAAATTCCAACTAAAAAAAAAAAAAATGAGCCAAGGATAAGCATCAGAGTATTTGAATAGAAGAAAATATTAAAATTATTACATAGGTGTACTTAAGATTCATGTACTTTACTATTTATACGTTTTTATATTAGGTCCCTGTTGTTGCTGTAATAAATTACCACAAGTTTGGTTACTTAAAACAGTACATATGTCTGGAAGTCACAAGTCCTAAATGAGTTTTAACCATGCTAAAATCAAAGTGTTGGGAGGGCCATACTTTCTTGGGAGACTATAGATGATATTCCTTTTCCTTTCCTTTCCCAGCTTCTAGGACTGCATTCCTCACGGCTCCCTCCATCTTTGGAGACAGCACTGTAGCACATTTCAAATCTCTCCCTCTCTGTTTGTCACATTGCCTTCTCCTTTGTAGTGAAGTCTCTCTCTACATTTCTGTTATAAGGACATTTGTGATTACATTTAAGGCCTACTTGTATAATCCAGGATAATCTCCCCATCTCAAGATCCGTAACTTAATTACATCTGCAAAGTCCCTTTTTTCATATAAGGTAACATTTGCAGGGTTTGGTGATTAGGGCCTGTATATCTTTGGGGGCCATTATCCAGCCTTCTTCATTATTATAACCCCAGTAAAATAGTGAAATAAGTCATACAATTGATTTTGATGAGCAGCCAAGAAAGAGAATCATTATAATAATTGTCTGATTTGAATTAAACTAGTAGTTTTAAATCCCTTCTATGTAAGAGTTAATGAGCTAACTTTGAAGGAAAAATTGAGACAAGATACAAGCTTCACAGCTGGGATATTCTTTTTTTTTTTTTTCTTTTGAGTTGGAGTCTCACTCTGTCGCCCAGACTGGAGTGCAATGGCCGCTCTAGGCCACTGCAACCTTGCCTGCTGGGCTCCGGCAATCCTTCCACCTCAGCCTTCCAAGTAGCTGGAACTACAGGTGCGCGCAACCACACCCAGCTAGTTTTTGGTTTATTGTAGAGATGAGGTCTCGCTAAGTTGCCCAGGCGGGTCTCGAACCCACGGGCTCAGGCAATCCACTCATCTCGGCCTCCCAAAGTGTGGGATTACAGGCTGAACCACTGAACCCGGCCAACTGGGATATTCTTTATTACTGTTGAAATAATTTTCAAAAGAAAGCATAAAAAATCTTGTTTCTTAAAGATATTTTAAGAACAAGAAAAACCTTACCTCATTTGGAAGAGATGAGGCATATCTGAGATTCTAAAATCATCCTGGCCCATGGAAAAGAAAGGGTCTCGGGTATTCAAACGAGACTTGAATCTTGGCTCTGCTACCCCTCAGTAGTTTTGTTGCTTAGGAACTTAACCTGGCACATAGCAGCTAGGTGTTTACTAACTGAGAGAGCCTTTGAAGTTTTTTGGTTTTGTTTTTATGTTGGCATCTCACTGTGTTGCCCAGACTGGAGTGCAGTGGCACGCTCCTGGCCACCGCACCCTCTACCTGCTGGGCTCAGGTGATCCTTCCACCTCAGCCTTCTAGTAGCTGGAACCACAGGCATGCACCACCATGCCCAGCTAATTTTTTGATTTATTTTAGAGGTAAGGTATCTCAAACCTGCCCAGGTTGGTTTTGAACCCTTGGATTCAGGCAGTCCTCTAGGCTCCACCTCCCAAAGTGCTGGGATTACAGGCATAAGCCACCATGCCCAGCAGCCTTTGAGTTTTTAAGAATTTTATAATCACCCAAAACCTACCCTTTTATGTAAAATGAGTACCTGCACCTCATACATTTATTGCAAAAACAAGATCAAGCAGGCTGGATGTGTTGGCTCACACTTGTAATCCCAGCACTTTGGGAAGCCAAGGCAGGAGGATTGCTTGAGCCCATGAGTGTGAGACCAACCTAGGCTACACAGCGAGACCTTGTCTTCACAAAAAAAATTTAAAAATTAACTGGCATGGTGGCAGGCACCAGTATTCCAGACTACTCAGGAGGCTGACGCAGGAACCTCCTAGTTTGAGCCCAAGAGTTTGATGCTACAGTGAGCCATGATCATGTCACTATAATTCAGACCCTGGCACACACATACACAAACTCACTCACACATGATAGAGCATGTAAAGTCTTTAGGAAAAAATCTAACACATAGTAATGTTCATATGTTTTAGTACTATATGTAAATGGTAAAGTTGTATATGATATACAAGGGTTTCTTTGCTCAATATTCTGATTGCTAGTTATGCCTAGGAAAATGAGTAAAAAATTGGAAAACAAATCTGAGCAGCTTCTTAAACTCCTTATTTTTATTTTACTAGGTTGCCACATTCATCCTCCAGAAGATACTCTTAGATGACACTGGTTTGGCTTATATATGTCAGACATATGAGCGTTTCTCCCATGTTGCTATGATCTTGGTGAGTTTTTTCATCTACCCTCTTTGCAACTACTTTGGATTACGCAGCTTAATCACTTTGCAACCTGCACTCAGCAGCTTCAGTCTTCTAACTAGAAGTAACGTTTTTGTTTTTTTTCTCAGTCACTCTGTTGCCCAGGCTGGAGTGCAGTGGCACGACAGCCTCGACCTGCTGGGCTCAGGTGATCCTTCCACCTCAGCCTTCTAAGTAGCTGGAACCACAGCCAGGCACGCACCACCACACCCAGCTAATTTTTTTGATATATTGTAGAGATGACGTCCCGCCAGGTTGTCTAGGCTGGTCTCAAACTCCTGATCTCAGGCACTCCTCTGACCTCCGCCTCCCAGAGTGCTGGGATTACAGGCATGAGCCACCATGCCCGGCCTAGAAATAACAGTTTTGGAACCAGCCTTGAATAATGATTCTTGGTCTATCTGATCTCTGATGTCAAGTAGAATTATTTCATATTTTGTGTGTTATTCCCTACCCCTCCCTCTGCTTGGGGGAAAACAGGGTAAGATGGTCCTGCAGCTATCCAAAGAGCCTTCCGCCCGTCTGCTGAAGCATGTAGTGAGGTGTTACCTTCGACTCTCAGATAATCCCAGGTAAACATTTACAGGATTTATAGGATTTAAGAGGAAATACTCTGCTGGATGGCATAGCTCATATATCATTAGGACAGGGAAGGGATATAACTATATTTAACTTGTCTAGAATAGAACTTAATTCCTTTTAAAATAGCAAATGCTGAATTTAAAAATCCATGAGTTGTGTCTTCTTACTGTAACTCTCTATCCTCCTCTGACATCGCAGAGAGTCTAGACAATTTCAAGGGAAACCATGTGATACATTACTTCTTTGGTTTGAGCTTTCTGTTGCTGCTCCAAGTGGTCAGAAAGAGAAGTATACTTTCAAAAATCTTTTAGAAAGTAACATAGTCCAGGGGGCTCTTGAAATATATTTTCAGTTCTCTTCATGATTCCTGTAAGGTTTTGAGCTAATCATTTTATCTCCTTCTGTTTGTAATCTTTCTGCCAGAAGTCATACATTGTAGATATAATGCATTTTAGAAGTGCTTAACCTTTTGCTCTGTAAATCCATTATTCATGCCAAAAGCCACTTGCTCAGATCCTGCTAAACCACATAGTGGAGTGATTTTTGTGTTCCTAGGAAAAGGGATAATCTGATTTAATGTGAACTCAGTCTTCTGCCACTGAGTTTATTCAAGCCCTACCTTTTAAAAAAAAAAACAAAAAACATTTTGTCCTGTTCTTCAGTGGTTCTTGTTTTCACCAAAGTTTTAAAATGTATCTATTTGAAATTCTTCTTGTACAATGAAAACTAGTCTGAATACAAAAGCTATAACTTTGTTTACAATAGCCCTATAAATAGTTAACATTTACCTTTTTTAGGTTTTCAGATTTGACTTTCTGCTGGTCATCTTTTCAAAGAAAAGGAAACATTTAAAGTTCATCTGATAATGCTGCTACCATAGTTTTGTTTTTACCACTCATCTGTTAATGTTTTTAACCATAAAACTGAAGCAATTTCTGTAAAGACACAAATTAATAAGTTAGTATAGAATTAAAATTCATTAATTTATCTTACTATAAGTTTGGCCATGTCCCTGTTAATGTACTGATTTTTGAAATATTTACTATTACCCATATATTTCTAACATGAATATTTTGACAGTACTTACTGTAATAAATCAGAAAGCTGTTTGAATTGAAGTAGACTATTGTACCATTTTACTTCATTTTGCTTTTACATGAAATTCTACGTTGGGGCATCATTCTGAAAATGTTTGTGGATACAGCTTTTGAAGATCTCTGAGCCTTTGCTAATATAATAAACTTTAGAAAATTTTAATGGCTTCTTAATGTAACTTGACAGAGACATAGATTCACAGGATTCTGTATATTTATGTCTAAGAAAAGGACTTTTCCCTATCCACAAAATGTGGGTTTATGTGTTGGTCTCCCTGGTTGGTTTGTTTGTTTCTGATGTAGGGCACGTGAAGCACTCAGGCAGTGCCTCCCTGACCAGCTGAAGGACACAACCTTCGCCCAGGTGCTAAAGGATGACACCACCACGAAACGCTGGCTTGCACAACTGGTGAAGAACCTGCAAGAGGGCCAGGTCACCGATCCCCGGGGTATCCCCCTGCCCCCTCAGTGATCCTCCCCTGTCCCCTCCCACTACTCCCCCAAGTGGGGGAAAGGAGGGGATAACCTACGAGGAAAACAGCTCAGGTTTTATCGCCGACTGGGAATAGACAGCCTCACTGCTGAACTGCACTGGAGAAAAGGGGCAAGTTACCCCTGCCGAGGTGTATGGGCTGCCTCTCAGGCTGCCTTGAGGACCTGGGCTCCCTCTGCTACTCCCAGGAAATGGGCTCCTGACACAGCAGTCTTCCACCACAGCCCCAGGAGGGTGTCAACACCAGCACATGCTGTATTTACAGCACGCCCAAGATGACCCTTCTCCCCCACCTCTCCCTAGCCGCTGGCAGAGAGGGGAGTTAGTGGTGATAGCAGAAGCACTCTAGGCATGATGAACGCCTGGGACCAAGCCATGTGGCGTTGTTGTATTTTGCCTTCCTGGAAGACTCAAGATGTGTGTCTTTATTCTCTCTCTCAGTGTTTGTTTACTTTGTTTTTTGTTTGTTTGTTTTCAGTCTCAGAGAGAGGTGCATTTAGTGGGCACAAGCTGTAATATTCAGCAAAACTTTGTCAATTGGCACTGTTTACAAGTCTGTTAGCTGCATAAGCTCAATAAACAGTTGGTCTGGGCATTACATCCCCTCTGGTAGGCCAGTAGCTACATCGAACTGTTGGGAGGAATGGGAGGCAGGGGGAAGTGTAAAGCCAAAGGACAGCAAGAACCCATCGCCTGTTTCCCTGCCTTCTCCCGTTCTTCTACTCCAGTCCCGAATGCCACAAACACCTTAATCTTGTTTCTGGCTTAAGCTGCTAGCTTTCCCAAATCTCAGTGCTTTTCTTTTTTTACTTCCCTATTAAACTTAAAACAGACATCTTAATTCATCAGGCTGTCCTAGAAGGGTGTTTATTGGGGGGCGAGGGGCAGCAGTGGACCTCACCTTCAATCCAAGTCTTCAAAAATACTTTCTGGGTGACTTTTAAAAGGGAGATCCTTGGGATTAGGCGACAGGCTTCTTGATCCTATTCTTTGTTTTAGGGTAAATTTCAGCAGTTCTATCTGTCTTCATGATTGTACTTGAAGCAGTATTAGCTGAATATGTTAATTTTATTCAGATTTAAGATGGAGGGCTGGACTCTGCTCACTCTTTTTTTTTTGACATTCTTTTTTGGTCTATGGGTATTACAGGGTTGCCACTGAAATATTTTTCACTGATTCATATCGTGTCGGAGTTTTCCCCTTTCTTCTCTGGAGCTTTAGATGGCTCTCTTCGCAATCCACAGGGTTGAGTCTGTAAGCCAGTGTAAACTGCTTTGCTTTCCTCCAATCCTTCCCCATGCTAGCACCTGCTTGCTCTCTCTCATCCCTATCTCCAATCAAAGATGGGATTGCTAATTCAACTCCAGAGAGGGACCAAGTCTTTTGTGCTCACATCTCACACAGTTGAGGTGTCTGAACAAGTTTGGGGAGGGTACTGTAAGGGGCAGGCTCAGAAAAACCTTTGCAGAGGCAGTTTTGTCAACACAAGGGCTCTTTCAAGCCAACTTTCACAGAGAGAGTCGGCCTTGTGGGTTGGCTTCTGCTCTTTAGAGCCAAGAAAGTAGTGGGTAAGTGGCTTAGATGTAGGAAGGGGAGAATAAGCACTTACTCCCCAGCCTTCCAGAATGCAAAGATAACCAGCCCAGCTCTCAGTCTCAAGCCTACCGAGGAGGGGTCTTGGAGAAAGCAGAGAACAAAATGGACTGGATCGGCATCTTGACTCCCTCCAGCCTATAGTCTGAGATCTGAAGAATCCACCTAGGGTAACCCTAATTTTTGACAAACGCCTTCCTGCTGAGCCAAAGTTTTCTGATTCCCCCTCCACTGGGGAAGCAACTGAGGCCCAGGGCCTTGCTCCCTGGGAAATTCTCTTCTCTCTCCATCTTTCGGTGCACTGGCCATGTTACTGCACCAATAGTGTCTTAATTCTCGTCTCATCTACTCAGCTGTCCTTGGAACCCACATAGGAGTTGGTGGGGGCGGGGTGGAATGGGTATTACTCCTTGTAGTTGATCCAGATGTATGTATTATATAAAGAGGCCCTACCCCTTATTTTGTGTTTTCCATCCCTCTTCCTCAACAGGATTGAAATAAAACATGCTTCTGTTTTTGTAAAAAGAATTTTTACTTTAAACTGGAGGTTTTATTCTGTCAATATAGGAATAACTAGGCACTTCGGTCAGGTGATCCTAGTCATGTATGCCTCTACCCTCTGCCCACCCTACACACACACACCCCTGCCAAAAGGGCAGTAGTGATTCCTTTGTGGGCATGTGTTTTGGGAGACTCTAACTGATGTACAAAAGCTGTTTGGGAGGCTGGGATGGTGCCCCTTACCAGATAACATATCTCTTAACTGAGGCAGAATGTCACTCATGGCCGTAGTGACCAGAACTTAGTGTCAGTGTGGGAGAGACTTCCATAAGTGAAGAAGTAATGCTTGAAGCATCTTGTCATGGACTTTAATTTTCATTTCCTCTGGAGTTAGGGCTTAGAGCACATCTCCAGAGTTGTTTCCATACCTGGCTCTCAGTGAGACACAGCCAACCCTTGCTTCCACCTTTTTTTAAGAGCCTTAGAGGCCCTGTGACTACTATTTCAGTAGTAGAATAAGACAAGGAGAGACACTGGTAGCCTTCAGAGTGTGCCTTCCTTACTATCGATGTACAATTCTACTGATCACTATCCCTGCTTCTTAAAGGCTAGAAAAAGGGTATATAGAAAGTTGTTGCTCTCAAAAACCCAAGGAAGAAATGTGGAATAGAAAACCGTAGAATAAAATTAAAATTTTCTTTCCTGATACATTGTGGAATTTAATTTTTGGAAAAATAATTTAATACATTTATTTCAAAAGCAGATATAACAAGCAGAAAATTTGAAAAACAGATAACCTCACTTCATTGACATATGTAGAACACTGCACTCTTAACCAACAGCATACATAATCTTTTTAATTGCATCTGAAGCATTTACCAGAATTTATCACAGCTGGACCATCAAGCAAGACTCAGAAAAACTTCCAAATAATGAATAGGGTAGTCTTTGACCAAAGTGGAAATAAGCTAGGAAAAAGAACTGGGATGTCCCTAACTGTTTAAAACCTAGGCGATGTAATTCTAAACTTGTGGGTCAAAGAAGAAATTACAAAGGAAATTAGAAAATATTTCAATTAAGTGATAGTGAAGATGACTTGGTGAGCTACTTGTAATCCCAGCATCTGGGAGGTCGAGGACTGCTTGAAGCCAGGAGTTCAAGACCAGCCTGGGCAACATAGCAAGACCCAACCTCTACAAAAAAACTTAAAAATTAGCTGGGTGTGGTAGTGCATGTCTGTAGTCCCAGCTACCTGAGAGGCTGAAGTGAGAGGAGGTTGAGGCTGTGATGAGCTCTGATCATGCCACTGCATTGCAGCCTGGGGAATGGAGTGAGACCCGACTCAATATAATAAAAGGAAACTGAAAAAGAGTAGCAATTCAAAAAGTAAAAGAACAGATACCACAAGAAAAGTGAAAGTCAGTGAGATAGAAAACACATGTACAATAAAAACCAAAGTGAAAAGTTAGATCCTGAAAACATCAGTAAAATTTACAGGAAACAAAAGGGGAATAAATCCCAATTCACTGTCTCTATTGCCCAAGCTGGTCCATATAGTGAGACCCTGTCTCCACAAAAAGCAAAAAAAGGTGAATTGATATCTATTCTTTTTGTTCTCTGGGCTCCCAGAGTGCTGGGATTACAGAAATGAGCCACTATGCCCAACCCTTGAAGCAGCATAACCCAGCCACCAAAAATGATAGTGCATTAGATCTCATGTTATCTATTGCAAAAACACAGGAGTGATTAAATACTTGAAAGCCAATCAATGCAATTCACAAGGTCAACATAAAAAGAAAGCGCTGGGCACAATGGCTCATGCCTGTAATCTCAACACTGTGAGAGAACAAGGTGAGAGGATTGCCTGAGCCCAGGAGTTAGGGACCAGCCTGGGCACATGGTGAAACCTCATCTCCACAGTAAAAAAATAAGCTGGGTGAGGTGGTGCATACCTGTAGTTCCAGCTACTTGAAAAGTTGAGATGGGTCTCCTGAGCCCAGCAGATCCAGGCCATGGTGGCCGTGAGCGTGCCACTGCACTCCAGCCAGGGTGACAGAGACTTCGATTCAAAAGAAAAAACAATCACACAGTCACCTAGATAAATACACAAGAGCAAAACAAAATTCAATATCTACTCAATATTTTTTTAACTTTGAAAATCGACCGAGCTCAGTGGCTCACGCCTGTAATCCCAGCACTTTGGAAAGCTGAAGTGAAAGGATTGCCTGAGTCAAGGTTACGGTGGCCATTTGCATGCCACTGCACTCCAGCCTGGGTGACAGTGAGAATCCGACTCAAAAAAAAAAAAAGAATGCCGGGCTCGGTCGCTCAGCCTGTAATCCCGCGCCTTTGGGAGGCTGAGGTGAGTGGATTGCCTGAGCCCGCAGGCTCGAGACCCGCCTGGGCAACTTGGCGAGACCTCATCTCTACAATAAGTCAAAAACTCAGCCGGGCGTGGTAGCGCATGCCTGTAATTCCGGCTACTCGGAAGGCTAAGGCGGAAGGATCGCCGGAGCCCAGCAGGTCGAGGCTGCGGTGGCCGGGAGCGGCCACTGCACTCCAGTCTGGGCGACCGAGTGAGACTCCAACTAAAAAAATAATAATAATAAAACAACATGATTGTGTACATAGATAATCCAAAAAAATCTATAAGCTTTCGAAATTATAAGTTAATTTAGCAAGATCACAGACTATAAGGTCAATACACAAAAAATACATATTTCTATATACAACAATAAATAGAAAATGAAATTCCAAAAATAGTTTGTAAAGCTAGAAATCAAGTTGCTGGAAATAGACATGAAGGCAACAAGAAGGAAGTAATTAGAAGGGTGCTCAAGAAAGTCAAAATAATAGCTCAGCGGACATGGTGGCTCACACCTGTAATCGTAGCATTTTGGGAGGTGGAGGCGAGAGGATTGCCTGAGCTCACAGGTTCAAGACCAGTCTGGGCAACATGGCGAGCCCTCATCTCTAAAAAATTAGCTGGGTGTGGTGGTGCATGCTTATAGTTCCAGTTACTTGGAAGACAGAAGGAAGGATCGCCAGAGCCTAGCAGGTCAAGGCTGCAGTGACAGTGAGTGTGCCACTGCACTCCAGCCTGGGCAACAAAGTAAAATTACAATTAAAAAAAAAATAGCCGGGCCCGGTGGCTCAGCCTGTAATCCCGCGCCTTTGGGAGGCTGAGGTAAGTGGATTGCCTGAGCCCGTGGGTTCAAGACCCGCCTGGGCAGGTGAGACCTCATCTCTACAATAAATCAAAAAATTAGCCGGGCGTGATAGCGTACGCCTGTAATTCCGGCTACTCAGAAGGCTGAGGCAGAAGGATCACCGGAGCCCAGCAGGTCTAGGCTGCGGTGGCTGGGAGCTGCCACTGCACTCCAGTATGGGTGACAGAGTGAGACTCCAAATTAAAAAAAAAAAAAAAAAAATAGGCTGGGCACGATGGCTCATGCCTGTAATCCCAACACTTTGGGAGACAGAGAGTCAAGAGAATTGCCTGAGCCCACGGGTTCAAGACTAGCCTGGGCAATTTGGCAAGACCTCATCTCTACAATAAATAAATTTTAAAAATTAGCCAGGAGTAGTGGCAAACACCTGTAGTTCCAGCTGCTTGGAAGGCTGAGGTGGAAGGATCACCTGAGCCCAGCAGGTTGAGGCTGCGGTGGCTGTGAGTATGAGACAGCACTCCAGCCTGGGTGACTGAGACTCTGACTCAAAAAAAAAAGACCTCAAACAGTAACTACAGAGTGCTCCTTTTATTACATTTTAACTACATAAATGTTGAATCCCCTCTTACATATATGATTTTTGGGGCTACAACTTAGTAAAGTGAAAGAGAAGGGAAAAAAGAAATTGCCATCTCAAAAGATGTGCAGAACCTTTGCATGGAAAGCTACGAAACATTCTTGAGAGAGATGAAAGAGCTATATAAATGGATGGATATATCATCTCCATGGATTGGAAAACAATATTGTAAGGATGCCAGTGATCTCAAATTGATCTGGCTTGGTGTGGTGGCTCATACATGTAATCCTAGCACTTTGGGAGACTGAGGCGGGAAGGTAATTTGAGGCCAGAAGTCTGAAACAAGCCTGGGCAAAATAGCAAGACACCACCTCTACAAAAAATTAAATGTTAACTGGAAGAGGTGGCAAGTGCCTATAGTCCCAGTTACTTGGCAGGCTAAAGAGGAAGGATCACCTTAGCCCAGGAGTTCGAGGCTCCAGTGAGCTATGATTGCACCACTGCACTCCAGCCTGGGTGACAGAGTGAGACCCTGTCTCAAAACATTTTTTTAGCTGGACACAGTGGCTCACACCTATAATCCCAGCACTTTGGGGGCCAAGGTGAGAGGATTGCCTGAGCCCACAGGTTCAAGACCGGGTTCAAGACCAGCCTGGGCAACATGGCGAGACCTCATCTCTAGAATGAATCCAAAAATCAGCCGGACATGGTGGCGTGCTCCTGTAGTTCCAGCTACTTGGAAGGCTGAGGCAGAAAGATAGCCTGAGCCCAGCAGATCGAGACTGCGGTGGCCCGGAACATGCCACTGCCTTCCAGCCTGGGTGACAAAATGAGACTCCAACAGAAAAAAAAAATTTTGTTTAATAAAAAATCAATTAGATTTGCAATTCTAAGTAAAACCCCAGCGGTTTATTTTTGTAAAAATTGATGAGCTGATTCTAAACTATTGCCAAAACAGCCAAAGTAATCTTGAATAAGAACATAATTGACTCTGGTGTGGCAACTCACACCTGTAATCCCAGCATTTCAGGAGACTGAGGCGAGAGGATTGCTGAGCCCAGGGGTTCAAACCTAGCCTGGGTAACTTGGCGAGACCTCATCTCTACAGTAAATCAAAAAAATTAGGCGAGCGTGGTGACGCACACCTGTAGTTCCAGATACTTGGAAGGCTGAGGCAAAAGGATCACCTGAGCCTAGCAGGTCGAGTCTGCGGTGGCCATGAGCATGCCACTGCACTCCAACCTGGGAGACAGAGTGAGACTCTGACTCAAAAAAAAACAAAAACAAAAACAAAAATTGGAGTCCTTCCATTCCCAGATACCTCCTTTTAACTTTCAACCTTTTAGTAACACTTTTGTAGACATGACTTATAACTAGCATATACTTGTATTTTGTTTTTTAGCTTTTCTGAAAGTTTTGTCTCTTGGTGTTAACTACAATTTGTTTTTCTTTTTACCTTCTATCATCTTGTTCTCTGACTGGTCTTGCCCAGGCTGGTCCTGAACACCTGGGCTCAGGCAATCCTCTCACCTCAGCCTCCCAAAGTGTTGGGATTACAGGCCTGAGCCACCACGCCCTTGGAGACTTTCACAAAGTTAGTATGGCTCCAAAGAGTGCTTACAAGGCATGCCCACTGCAGGACTCTCACTAGATAAAAGAAAGGAGTAGACAGTGCCCTAGGCACAGGAACTGTCCGTCTGGTTTGGTTATTCCTATTTCTGCAATGATCCTGTCCCCTCCCCCACTGTTGTCTATTATTAACAGATCAAGAAATTTGATCAGGCCAGCAGCAGCAGAGGGACTTTCTGGGAACCATGCCCAGGAAAGGCATAGAAGCCCTAAACCGAAATGAAGCAGCAGCTGGCAAAGAAGACCTAAACATGGTACTCTCACCCTACCACCCAGGCCTACCTAGACCTTCCTTCTGACACCCAGGGCAGATGCCACCACACCTAAACAAATCTGCTTCTCAGAACATTCAAGCTGGAAAGTCTGAGATCATTTCCCTAACCTATCCTACCAAACTACTCAAACTTCTGAAATAAAGCCCATCTTCTTGGTGGTCAAAAAAGGCAACTCAAAATGTAAATTCCACTGAAAAACCATCAGAGGCCAGGCGCAGTGACTCACACCTATAATCCCAGCACTTCGGAAGGCTGAGGTGAGAGGACTGCCTGAGCCCAGGTGTTCAAGACCAGCCTGGGCAGTTTGGCAAGACTTCGTCTGGACAATAAACCGAAAAATTAGCTGGGCATGGTAGCACACACTTGTAGTTCCAGCTACTTGGAAGGCTGAGGCGGAAGAATCGCCTGAGTCCAGCAGATTGAGGCTGTGGTGGCTGTGAGTGTGCCACTCCACCCTAGGTGACAGGGTGACACTCCAACTAAAAAA